ATATATTTTGTATCACATGGCTTACAAATACATATCTTACATAAAGTAGTACATTAAAGTAGGCCTACAGTTTAGGTTGGCAGGGAGGGGGAGAGTGCTGCAGCATCACAGCACTAGCAGAAATTTGAATTTGCCTACTGGAACACTTTCGGTTAACCGATGTCTCAGTTGATTGGTATTTGGTTAATTGATGCTCTACTATATACACAAAACTCAAATTGTTAGCAAAAGTTGAGTCTGAATTACCAGATTTTTTTCAGACTATTTTTTAGACTACCAATTAAGAATGGGTTTAATTTAATCTCTGCTTCCAGTTAGTCCTTTCTTTCAGAATTTTTTAAGAAACTTAATTAAATTTAACATTAATTTCTAATTTTTAATATTTACACAAGAATATGACTTTATTGCCTGTCTTTATGCCTAGTTAAAATTTTCCTTTATTATTGCCTGAGAATCTGGCAGTTTTGGCTTAAGTTTAGTTCAAGATGTTAATAAATAATAATAAATTTAATAAATGTTTTGCTAATAAAAATATTTTAATGCTGAAAGACAGTGTGTGAGAGCTGTCTATTATGTACATTTGCATCAAGTGCATCCAAAGGTCGGTCCACCAGTGGTCGAGCGGTCTTTGTACCCTGAACACTGGGAGTTCAGTTGTGGGTTTGCATCTTGCTCAGACGGGCTGGCCATGTGGAGTTTTCCAGGTTTTCTCCACATCTGTAATGCCTAAATAGGGCTAGTTTCCCTTAAAAAGACCTCCTCGAAGGCATCTCCCTAGGCAGATCGCCCAAGTGTTGCGTTGCCATAACTAAACTAAACAAAGCATCCAAAGGTCTTTCAACTGTAATGAAAATGTTTGATACATAAACAAATGGTAAACTCATGGGAGGTCAGAGGACAAATTGGACTATCAGATTGGTTAATTCCTGCCATAATTTTGACATTAAAAAAATAGTTATATTTGTTTAATTTTTGTAAAAACAGACATTTTATGATTTTGTTTATTTATAAAAAATAAAATTTATGTATCAGGAATGAACCCATGCCCTTTGCGTTATACTGGAATTCAATCAGCTGAAGCAATATAAATGAACCAAAATATTTATCAGATGTACTTAATTTATTATTTAATTAATTTAAGCTTAAATAATTTTTAGTCTATATCTGCACAAAGTAGAATTTTTTTCTTTTCAGTTGTCTACAATGTTAAACATAGCTAGTCCTTGATGTTTTTTTTAAAATTAAAGGAATTTATTTTTTACATTTAAAGCCAACTTTATTAACCATGGAAATAACCATTAGCCAAACTAACCATTTTACCAATAATGACTAATTATGTATAGTACATTAGTATTGTATGTCATTTTGAGGGCAATGACTATTGTTAAGAGGTTAAAAATAGAATTTTTAGTTGTTGGGTTGTTGTTTGGAGGTTATTTTGTATGCATTTTTGTTTGAAAAGAAATGTTTCTGAAAAAATATACATTAGTTCTTGCCATTAAAGCATATAATCTTTTTCTTTCACATTGGAAAAATTCTCAGATGTTGTACTTGGCATATATAATTGACAACTTCTGAGTTGTTTAGTGGTGAAAGCTTTGATATCAACATGTCAAAAGTTAAAGAAATAACTTTATTTAGTTATTAGCTAATTACATTTATTTTACTGTAATTCATTGACCTAGTAGTATCAATATGAGAGATAAATGATTTTTATGAAAGAGGATGGAGAGGAGAAAAACTTCAACAATTTTTTCTATAAACAGTTACTAGTTATTCCTTCCACTAGTCAGAATTAGAAAAGGTTTTTCATAAACAGAGATTCTGTACAATAAATACAGTATAATAAAGTGGCATTAGACATATGGTTTTTAAGGGCATATTTCAAAAATTTGCTAATAACTTTTAAACGAGGAAGATCTTTATCTGGAGGTACCATTTGTTTTTATAAATGTTACCAAATTCATTTTATATTTTGCAAGAATTTCTACTTTAATTATTAAAATGTCCTGTAAATTTTCTCCATAAAGGCATGTTTTAGTTTAGTTTTTATCTGTTGTTAAAACTTTTTATTGAGGTTAATTATATTTTATGCAATATGATATCACTTCTGTAACTGCATATGATGCTTCCTTGTTTGTATATAATATAAAATTATTTTTAAAAATTAAATTGAAGACAAAGTCTGTTGAAAAAAGGAATCACCATTTATTCACATTCAATGTTCTGGAATACAAACTTTTGATAACTAACCTTTCACTGTAGGCTACTTGGCCATCAAAATTAAAAATTTCCTTAAAAACAAAGAAAAAAAAAATATCCTATTGAAAACACAAGTTTAAAAATTGGAACTGCCAATATTACAGATGTCTTCTTTCCTTCCGTCCTTACCATTTGGGGATGTTAGAGCTTTTATCTATCAAAGCAAGAGCTGGTAAATATAGATTTTCAGCTGCCCCTGGTGATGAATCTTATATAAAATTATTGTGTACAAATATGAAATTGTTTTTATTTCTTTGTAAAAGAAAACTTCTTTCATCTTAGTAATCCTGAAATTGCAATCCCTAGTCTTCACTTCATGTCAAAGAGCCTGAATGCAAAAGCTCTTTTAGGATGATTACAAAGTAAGGCATTCATGAGAAATTCTAAATAATAGTTACGCAGATGCTTTGATGGGCAGAGATAAACGTTTGATGAGAAGTTAATCTGAATGAGAGATTGTTGAATCTTTAGTCTGCATGAAGTAAGATGAAGATGGCATATCAGATTTTTTAGTATATATACATACCATATTATTAGAATATTTTTAGCTAAAATGTAAGATTGTAAAATTTTATCATGATGATGTGTAGTTTTAGTAAAATTCTTTCTTACTTTTTCTCTCAGAGTTTAATAGGTTTCAAAAATGCTATATTTCTTTCAACAGAGTTATAAGTTTTGTTTTAAAGGTAAATTTAAATCCTAAATTAAGGAGTATTTTGTGTGTGGAGATAATGTTCTGGATTGTTAATTTTATTTTATTTATGCAGCTAAATTAAAACAGAATTTCTATAATGATGGATATTTACATTTGCAGAATGCATTACTCTGAATTTTAATTTATTTCTTTGGAATAATTTCTCTTAATTTTCTGTAAATCTTTGTTTATATATGTGCTTCAAGTATGTGATCCTGTACAAATTCTTATTGCATTATATTTATCTAATGATAATATGGCTTCATATTTTCAAATATCTGAAATTTAATCATTTAATTATGTGGGGAGATAAATAAATAAGGTTCTGAAATCTGGTATGATAGGAAGAATTTATTTACAAGAATGTGAGATACACAGAATGATAGTCCCATCTGTTCTCTACTTTCCAATGTAACTAACTATCGTCAGTTTGCAAACATTTGTTTCCTCATTTACCAGTACCTCAAATTTCCAGCAAATTAGTTTAATGAACCAAATATACAAATGTTTTCAGTTTACAAAATAAAATGAAAATGTTTTTTATTTGTTTATTAAACCTATTTGCTGGAAAGGTGTGAATGGTGTTGATTTTACAAGAAGGTTGTGTTCAGAGCATAAAAAATGCACTGCACCTGAATATTAACATCATCATTGTTCTGAAAGCTTTTCCCTTACAGTTTCTTGTTCAGTGTAGAGAGCAAGTGAAAATCACTTGGCACTAAATCAGACTGTAAGGCAGATGTTTCAAGTGTTCCCAACCCAGTGGCTGTAGCATTGTGCAGGCATATGTTTCATCCACAAAATGACACCCACATTCAATAGACCTGGTGACTTTTGCTTTTTTTTAATTGCTGATTTCAGCTTGCAGAGAATTGCACAGTAATGAGCAGCACTGACAGTTGATCTGTGTTCAAGAAGTTCCACAAGGAAAACTCTCTTGGTGTCTCAGAAAACTGTTAAGAAGACCTTCCCTACAGAATTTGTTACTTTGAACTTTTTTGGAGTATGGAGTGGAAGCACACTTATGTGTCTCCATTCCATAGATGCAACTTTCAATTTGGGGGTGAAGTGGTGGTGGGCCATCTTTTGTCTTCTGTCACTGCCCAGTCCAGAAAGGCATTTTTATCCTTCTGACAACAAATGAGGTGTTCCAAACACAAACCCATTCAATCATGATTCATAGCTATGAATTGGCGAGACACCTATCTTTCAGCCATTTTTCTCTACCCTAGTGTTTCTTGAATGATAATGTGAACTGTACCAAAGGAGATTTCCAACCATTCAGCCATTTCACACAATTTGATCCTTTTGTTTTCTTGAACCAAAGAATTCATGCGTTTAACATTTTCATTCTCAGAGGATAGTCAACCAGCTTACTGTTCATCTCACAAAAGTCACTGCCCACTGGAGTACTCTGGATACCATTTCCACATGGTCTGTTCAGACATAAATTTTTACAAACCTTCTGTAAATTTCATTCCTGGATTGATATCTAGCCCATTTTTACTAAATACAGTCCCTATTTCCTTATTAGTCAAGCTCTCTATAATTTGAATTTCTGATATCTCTTTCTGCCAACAATGCAGCAGATACACTTGGAATGGTAAACACTTCCTAAATATGACTGCTATGCATGACTAGGACATGCCAGCACCACCAGACGTGTCACTACCTGGGAATGTAGTCTGCATTCTTACAAATCATCTAATGGAGATATGCCAGACCACTGAAACTTATTTATTGATCTCTCGTTGTATATCAGGTTTTGTAATTTTAATTTATACTTTAATTCTTGTTCTGTAATTAGAGTTCATGAAAACCGAAGTGAATGTTTATAAATAATATATTAATGTTAGTTTTCAAATATTTTTTTATTACTAAAAGTAAATTTATTGACATCTGTATGGAATATCAACATTTTTATAAATAAAAGTACAGTTTATGTCATTCTTAATAATAACATTTTTATTTAAAGAATAATTTGAATTTGTGATTTTTACACTTCACATTTATTTACTTCAAATAAAATTTTAATTCTTTACAGCTGTCACACATTGGTCTCGAAACACTTCACAGGCAGCTGCTCCACCTACAGCCTATTCTGATGGAACAGTGTTACCATTGGTGGGAACTGAATTTAAATTTTTAAATAGCATAATTATTTATAGTAGTATTAATAACTCAGTTATTATTAAGATATATTTTAAATTTAAATTTTTATTTTAAATAATAATAATTTTATTACATATTATTATATAATTAATTTGATTACATGATTGTTATATAATCATTACATGTAATCAAGTTTATACAGCTTATACAATTTAGTTCATATAAAATTAATGTTGAATTTTAAGTTCTCTTTCTGATTATATTAGTGAAATTTTATTTTGTTTTGTTCACAAATTTTTCTGTATTTTGCATAGGAATGCATGATCTGATCTGATGTTACTTAAAATAAAACATACATGGATTTATTTTTTTACAGTTAAAATATGATTAATTATTATATTTTGTCTGCATGGTTATTGTTGCTTCAGTCTTCAGTTGCATGTAGACTGGCTTTGACTACTCCTTGACTACTAATGTAAAAATTTGGTTGTATAATTGATCGAAAAGTTTGAGCTTGCTATTTAGCTGCATGTCTTTTTGTTTAATTCTGTGTCTATGTTCTGAACTCTAGCAAGCTAGAATGGAAGACAGATTTGATGAAGCCATAAACTATCTTAGAGATGATGTCGAGGTAATGATTTGAACTATTTTACATAACATTCCTTGAGCTTATTTGATTAGTGTTAATTTTATTTATTTTCTATCAGGTAGGTATTTGGTAATTAAATCTTGGTTAATTCTATATTTCCAAAATTATTACTAGAGCTGAAATCAAAGGAGTTTAATTGTTAATGATATAACTAGAGAATACTTCTTTTTAATTAGTTGATTGATATGCATTTTGTAATTGTTTTTAGATAAGATTTTCTGGAAGATTTTTTCAAATAATAAACAAATAACTATTTCATATGAAAAGATGAGAAATATTTATATTTTGACATTTTGTAAAAATTTATCAATTTTGGTGATAGTAAATGTAATTGAAAATTTTTATTTCTTTGAAATATTTTTTTTTTTTTTTTGTTTTATTTCTACAGATGTCTTCTTTCCTTCC